CCGGACCCCCCTAGACAAACCTCGCACCTGCGGCGCTCGGCTCGTGCCTTCGGCCCTCGTTTATCAAGGGTAATATTATAGGGGCGCATATAAGTTGCGTGCCGACTGGCCCCCCCAGAAAAATAGTACCCAGCACGCCACTGAACTTCAGATTTATACCTGGGGAGGGGTGGGGGGGGGGAGCAAATCTGTTACATGTACTTGTTACTTAAAACACAATTGAGTCAACATGTATTAAGTAAACATTTTAGTATTTCTGACTGAACACAATGTTCTGCACAGTGGGAATCATCACAGCATGCAGAGCCTATATTTTACTTTGCAAATATTTTACAAGCAAGAGAGTGATCGAGCAAAGTAAAATAGGCTCTGCATAGCAGGGTCATAGATTAAGTAAGAACAGATGTGTAACTTCAGTAAAAAAGTTGTCCCACGGTCGCGAGGGGTCCGACACGACCACATGAAGCGTACAAGATTTCGAAATCACGCGATTTCGAACCTGATTTCTTGATTTCTAATCTGATTTCTCTTGATTTCTAAACGGATTTCTGTTGATTTATAATGCGATTTCTTGATTTCTAACGTGATTTCTAACCTGATTTCCTGATTTCTAACCCGATTTCCTGATTTCTATGAGTTACCGCTGTTATATAGGACTGTGGGCTCAATAATAACGAAGTTTTAGTGATTTCTGATTTCAAAATTGACTAATTTCTCTCGTGATTTCTTGATTTCGGGTTTGATTTCAGTTGATTTCTGACTCGAATGTACGAGATTCCAGCCGTGTCGGACCCCTCGCACGGTCGCCATCTTCCTAGCAAGTGTCGCTCGCGTGACAATTCGTCATTTGGTAATACGTCACTGCTTTCAAAATGCTTTCAACACCTTTTCCACAACTTTAATTGCTTTTAACAACTTTAAACATTCAAAAAATTATGCTCTTGATTGTTTAATCCATAAATTTCGATGCAAAAAAGCCGCAATAAAATGCAAAAGTTCTTGTTTTCCAGGACGCCATCTTCCTAGCAAGTGTCATGGCGTGAGCATGACGTGTACATCTAGGGAAATTTGAGGACACGAATTCCTATCAAGTTACGCATCTGGTATATACTTAATCTGTGATTAAAGAGAGCACGCCACGTATTATCTAGCGGCTTTCCCTCCTGATCTATAGTATTGTGCTTCTCGATTTCAATTGACTCTCTCATTTTGCGAGAGAACTTATGACTATCAATCGCCAAAATGGTTGCTTCGTCCCATTTTATACGATGGTCGTAAGTCCTATAAAATAAAATAGTCCTGTAAAACACTATTTATAACTTTGATTTTAAGCGTTTGCCAAAGGCAAAACATTAAACTTTGTTGCATTTCACGATAGCTTCAATCTAAAACTAAACACAATTTATAACTTTGATTTTAAGCGTTTGCCAGAGGCAGAACATTAAACTTTGTTGCATTTCACGATAGCGTCAATCTAAAACATAACACAATTTATACACTGATGATCCACTTACCGTTACAGGTAACCCCGTCTCCATTGAAACCTGCTATACATTGACACGTGAAAGATCCAGGTGTGTTAGTACAGGTTGCCAACGTGGGGTGACAATTGTGAGTTCCAGCTGTACATTCATTGATATCTATGCAAGAACAGCAATATATGTTAACCACAGGGTATCCCAGTGAGATATAAAGGGATTGTGAGAAATTATGTAGGATCTTTGCATCTTTTTTGTTCATGCACAATCCAAATGGACATCTAAAATTTGTTTTATACAAACACAGAATGAAATCATGCCACTGCCATATTGCAGACCAGTCACATTAAGGTGGCTCAATACAGGTTTTCAAAAAATGGAAAATTCACGATTTAGATGCGTATTTTTGGCAATTATTACTTGTTGATAAACAAAATGTACCTTACTTATATAAAACAACATCTAAAGAGTTTGAATTTTTGTACAAAAGTTACGCAACAGCCGTTGCTATGGCAACAATGACATTTCAAGATGGCGGATATTTTGGCTTTAAAGTAATTTAACTCGTAAACGACATCAATGACCCCCAAATTTTATTTCAAAAAGTGATTTCTCTTAATACAATAAATTATTTTGACAATTTAAAAAAAATTCTGTGGAGACGAAATTTTTTAAATTACGTAAAGCTGATTAATCATAATAATTTTTTTGGCTCCACAGAATTTTCTTTAAATTGTTAAATAATTTATTATACTAAGATAAATAATTTTTAAAATAAAATTGGGGGTCACCGAGTTGTTTACGAGTTATATAAATTACTTTAAAGCCAAAATATCCGCCATTTTGAAACGTTATTGTTGCCATAGCAACGGCAGTTGCGTAACTTTTGTACAAAAATTCAAACTCCTTAGATGTTGTTTTATGTAAATAAGGCACTTTTTGTTTATCGACAAGTAATAATTGTCCAAAAATACGCATCTAATTCGTGAATTTTCCATTTTTTAAAAACTGTATTGAGCCACCTTAAGCTGAGGTAAATTAGCATGGCTAAAAACGCGTAATGGATGTTAGCCTGATAGGTAGATTTTTACAAGCTGCTATATCAGGATGTTGGCGACATAAAAAGCCTGAAGGTAAATAAATTCCAATTTTAAGCAGAACTCTATAGAGAAAACAAAATACTGTATAAGAATAAAAACGTTTAAGAAGTATTGAAGGAAATGACCTACCAACACACTGACGTCCATCTCCTGCGTATCCAGTGTTACAAGCACAGATATATGATCCTTGAGTATTAGTACACGTTGCAATACCCACAGCACAGTTGTCAAGATTATTTACGCATTCATC